ATGAGGTCACCCCGCAGCCTTCTCTTCTCCAGGCTGAACAAGCCCAACTCCCTCAGCCTGTCCTCATAGGGGAGGTGCTCCAGCCCCCTGATCATCTTAGTCGCCCTCCTCTGGACCCTTTCCAAAATCTCTATGTCTTTCTTGTACTGAGGGCTCCACACCTGGACACAGTACTCCAGATGGGGCCTCACAAGAGCCGAGTAGAGAGGGACGATCACCTCCCTGTCCCTGCTGACCACCCCTCTCCTGATGGAGCCCAGGATCCCATTTGCCTTTCGAGCTGCCAGAGCGCACTGCTGGCTCATGTTCAGTCTCTCGTCCATCAGGACCCCCAGGTCCTTCTCTGCCGAGCTGGATACCAGTTAACCACAAGACCCACACTTTACAGTCTTTACCCTGAAGTTGTGTTTTTGATTCCTAAGTGACACCTCCTGCTGGGTAGCTGCTCCCCTTGTAATTCCCATTTTCATCTGGCAGAATTTAGGAATCCCTGTATGAGTAAATCAAGGTTCACAGCATACACACACGTATGCAAAAATGCACACAGAAGACAGGTGCATCAGTACCCACAATGGGGGTCTCTCTGCACACAAAGAATCTGAGCATTGCTGCGATGGAGAGAAGGAAGAGTTAACAGGAAGTTTCCAAGTCAAACAAATTAAAAACAAAAGAACCCTATAAAATAAATAGAAACAGATTCCATCCATCACAGCAATGAGCCAGTATTGTCTAGATCATCCTCACTCACTTATATCAGTAAGTCTCATCAACTGCCGTGCACTCATTAACTAGAATCAGAGTGCTGTGTCTATGTATCAAAAGCAGGATTAAGACTTCAAGTGAAAAGGCAGATGAAGCAGATGACCTTTTGGAAAAGTGACGTGCTGCTTGACTGCAAATGTCACTGGTTAATTGATCAAATCTTAGAAAGGTAATTTCTATTAAGCTTTGCCTTTAGGAATCGATGTTTAGCGGTACAACGTTCATTGCTGGTGCATACACACCAACAGCCAGCTGCTGGTAAGTTCTGAGTTCAAGGACAACTGCAATGGGACAGTCAGCACAGCTTGATGTCACCCACAAGCATCCTGGTTATCTGCTATCAAGATATAAATGCAAGCAGTACTACCACATGTATAGATCCCCCCTCACAACTCTTTCAAGAAACCTGGTTACTCTAAGAAGTTTGCAAACACATGCAGCTCTGCAGGTCAGAGGCAGCCAAATGCAGACCTGCTGATCAAAGAAAAAAAGAAGAAGTTAGCAAGAAGTGCTGAACACAACTCACATGATTGGGAATGTCCATGCTGCTGCTAGGGAAGCGGACGCAGTTTCTGCACATTTTGTTTACCAAATCTTCACGGAAGATGATGATTTCTTGTGTGCAATATTGAATCCTAAATGAAAACGTCAGTGAAATTAAATGAATGACAGTGAAATGCTAACAGATGGAAAGATGTATTATAAAGTTGATCTTACTCTAATACAGCAAAATGAAAACACGCGTTTCAGTTAAAACAATCCCTTCTCATCTTTGTTTCTTTCCCTCCAGATTCAGAAAAAAAATGTTTTTGAGGTTTTTCTATACTGAGTTAAGCTTCTAGCAGTACTTCCAAACCATTTTGTTCAAGATGGTGTCATCACTAATTTATTTGTATATTAATGTATTTTAAATTAGTTACAATTAATGTGAGGAATTCTCCTCACTTAAAAATGTTAAGACCACTACATCTGCACAGAAACTAAATAGTTCAGTTCAGTTAAAAAAAAAAGAAGAAAAAAAAACCAACGTGAAAACTCTCAGTAAGTTAGACTGTTACCTGCAAGGATTTGTGGTGAAAACTGAAAATGGCACCAGCTGCCTGAATTCCTGAGTGATGTTTTCAGCCAGAGGAGGTCTAAAATAAGTAGCAACACGTGAATCACACAAATTTCTTACTTTCTTTAGCTATTTCATTCAGATTTTCCAAATGTAAAAAGTGAAGCAAACTGACCGTGGTAAAACAGAGCCAGGACCAGGATCTTCAGGGCCAGGAACAAACACAAATCGACTGCTGCAATGAGTTAAACACATTGCTTTCATATAAAATAATCCTAGAAGTATCTCACCTTTGCTTATGTACTACCACAATTCCACAGATGAACACAAGTAACATATTCCACGGCAGAGCTGACAGTTCCTTCAGGCCTTATGAACAACTTTAATCACAACTGAGTCATAAGGCTCATATCCATCCCGCATTGAAGTGGGAGAACTCTTATATTTAAGAAATGACTGCTCTGGGAGCCCATCCTAGGAACTCGCTCTGCTTCACAGCTACTGTTAGGAACTCAAAGGTGAGAAGCCAGAAAGGATAAGCCTGGCTGTCTCCCTGCTTTTCTTTCCTTCGTATATTCAAACATCTGTAGAAAGACAGATAAAGGATCCATCCCTCTTCAGGATGGTGTTGTTTTGCTTGGCTCTCAAACTAACAGCTGTGGAGAACCATGCAGGCAAGAACAGGAAGGCAGAAACAAGAAACTCTATGCAGGCAGTGTTTCAGATGACATTTCTCAGGGTTGGTACAGAAAGCCTGCAGCTGCTGCTAGCAGCATCAAGACCTGGACATCAGTTTAGTAAGCAGTACTGCATGGGCAGATCCCTGCTGAATGCAAGGGAATTTTGGAGGAAAAAAGCCTCACTCAAATAGAGCTTCTGGAGAACTGTGGGCCACGCTTCATCCATCTGGGAAATGCTCCCAAGAAAGGCAGGTTCACCTTTGCTGACTCAACGGGCAGCTTCCATGACCAAATTGTTGTAGCCAGAATCAGTGCCTTACACCGATCCCCAAACAATCTTACAGGCCTGGAACCTGATTGCAGCTGGCTCACAAAAATGGGAAAACATGCTATCTGTTCGTTCCTGAAGTAATTAAAGCAACATGTTCCAAAACAAGCACATTCCCCCTGCCACCCCCACAGCACTTCACTGTGTACCTTTTATGAATGCTGGGATATTCACATATTATATCTGCAAGAGCCTTCAAGGAACCTAGAGCCAGAAAAAAAATACCCATGGAGCAGCACTTGGTTAGAACAAAAACACACGTGACACAGATCACCTGTACACTTCAGCACAGCAAAAACACTGCACTTCTTTTCTGCCTTCTTAAACAGTTTTACCGCCTCTGTTTTAATTGAATGCTCAGGATTGACTGCGAAGAATTCCACACCTTTCAGAGACTGAATTTGGTTTTTTCCATATGGCGCAGATGAGAAATTTCCACAAAAGAAAAAGCAGGTTGGAGGAGCAGAGGAATAACCTGGAAAAACAAAGCACATGTGAGTGTAACATCCACCCACCTCGAGATCTTTCATCATTCAGCCTCCAGTCCATTTCATGAAAGGCAAAAGCCAAAACAGCACTTCAAGCTCTGCTTCTATTAATACCCCTATTTTCTAGACACAGGCTTTAATTATTTACAGTTCCAACAACATTGTTTGTGTGTATACAATTAATCATTGACCCAGTCCTATAATTACACAACTAAAACCTGTAATAATAATACATTCTTTCCTTGAAAAGAAAAATAGCAAGTAAGCAGCAATGGATTGTTATTAATCTCCATGCATCATTCAATTCAAAAGCTCTCCTACTGTTTAACTCATTTTTTAGCATTATAAAGCAACAGTACTGCACGAGCATTTTAAGGATCTGATGAACCCTCACAGTAGCACTAAACACATTGCTTTTCACCAATGACTGAAAAAATAAACTCATTTGCCACCTCTAAAATAAAAATAAAACATCTATTCGGGCATTTGTTTTGTGTTCCAGCTCACACTCCAGCTCCCTGGCCTGCAGCACCAGACTTGCATTTCCTTCACTATGTTACAAACCAGCAGGGGTAAACAGGATAGAATTGCTTATGGCAGGCAAATGGCTCAGCAGTATTTCTTCCTTGCTATTCCTCTCTGCTATTACTTTTATTATACAATTATGAGCTTTACCACTTGTCTATAAAAAAGAAGTGTGAAAGTGGTAAACACGATATATGCATCTCTTCCAGCTTAGTCTATTAACCTCCCTGACCGAAGCCCTTTATTGCTTCAGCATTTGCAGTTTTAGCTCAGGCTTGGTTTGGTTCAAGGATCTTGCCAACTCTCATCAGGATACAGAAATGGTTTCCTAACTTCAAAGTTAACTACTTAACTTCTCAGTAGATATTATGACAATGCGTTCAATTTTCCTTAAGTGAAAGCAGTTTGGCACCCTTAATTTTATACTGTTTGTTTTTTAAAGCAGCTGCCCTCTCACACCTCCATTCTACCTAAGGCAGACAGGACAAGCTGTTCCAAAACTGTTCTGGAATGCAAAGAAGCAATTCACAGATCTCACAGATGCTTGCTATCCAAATGTTGCCATCATTACTGATGTAATGATGCATGGAAGAAACAGCCCATATTTTGAGAATAACTGACATTTTTCCATTGGTGAAAAAAAAAAAACAGAAAGTGTTCAAGAGAGACTGTGAATCTCACAGAACCACAGAATGGCCTGGGTTGGAAGGGAGCTCAAGGATCACGAAGCTCCAACCCCCCTGTGCCACGCAGGGCCACCAACCTCCACATTTCACAGCAGCCCAGGCTGCCCAGG